GGTCCCATGGACTTTGCACGTTCAGATTTTTAAGATGGTCTTGAACCAGTTCCTCTCCTACAGTGGGTGCAAGGTCTTCATTCTCACAGTCCCTGCATCTGCCTTCCAAGACTTGGGTGGTTTGGTCAGAGCCTTTGCCAGTGAAGACTGAGGCAAAGAAGTCATTCAGAACCTCAGCCTTCTCCAAATCCTGTGTAGCCAGTTCTCCCGAGAGCTTCCTGAGGGGGCCTACATTGTCCCTAGTCTTTTTTTTATTTGCTACATACCTGTAGAATCCCTTCCTGTTATCCTTAAGATCCCTAGCCAAGTTTAATTCTAACTGGGCCTTAGCTTTCCTAACCTGGTCCCTAGCTTCCCTGACAACATCCCTGTGCTCCTCCCAGGCCTCCTGTCCTTGCTTCCACTTTTTATAAGCCTCTTTTTTCATCTGAATTTTCCTCAGCAGTTCCTTATCCATCCAAGGAGGTCTCCTGGCCCACCTGCTGCACTTCCTTCTGGTTGGGATGCAACGCTCCTGAGCTTGTAGCAGGTGGTCCTTGAATATTAACTAAGAGTCTTGGGCCCCCCTGCCCTCTAGGGCTATATCCCATGCAACCTTACTAAGCAGGTTCCTGAAGAGGCCAAAGTCTGCTCTCTTGAAGTCCAGGGCAGTGAGCTTGCTGCATGCTCTTCTCACTGTCCTGAGGATCTCAAATTCGACCATCTCATGATCGCAGCATCCAGGCCTGCCCTGGAGCGTCGCATTTCCAACGAGCCCTTCCCTGTTGGTGAGCACGAGGTCAAGCACGGCACCTCTCCTTGTTGGCTCCTCCACAGAGCTAATGAATTTACAGTGCTTTACACCTTCAGAGTTCTAAAAATAACTGCATATATTCATTCTTTCCTTTTCTAACAGTTCCCCTCACACAGTAGATAAGAAAATATCTCTAAATATTTAAGAAATAAGCAGAGGCAGTTTGCAGCCAGCTTTTTGAAAATTGTTTTATTTTAAGTGGTGCTTAATTTCTTTTTAAAATCATCCTGCTTAAGGTAATTTGAACCTAATTTTCAGAAGAACTTCTGCCACTGTTCAGCCACTTGAGCAGCATGAAACATTTGGTGTCCTCTAATTGTATGTGTAGACTAGTGACACTTAGATGAGGGGTCATGTTGTAGTTTAGTAAGTCTGTAGACTGAGCTCCTAAAATATAGGAAAAGTATAGTGTGACGGATGAATTTACATGTGGACTTGAGCATTCAATATCTCAGCTCTTGAACCTCTGTGTGACCTTGAACTTAGCACTTATTTTCTCCAAATGTCTTTTTCCTCAGTTGCAATCCAAGAATAACATTACCACAAACTATTGTTCGTCAAAGAATGTGGGATTCTGGCAAAAGTGATAGTAAATGCAGACAGGACTGCAAATTGTGCTTAATGCTACACAACCTAGCAAACGTAGGAAGAGAGTTTCAGAGTCCTGGTTTTCAGCATGCCATATAACTCAGAACATCACAGATTCTTCACTTTCTCACCATGGTGTCTGAGTTTCTTTCAGTAGTGCTTAAGCAATGTGAGTATTTTTTTACATGTGGTTTCTTCTGTAAACCACAGGCCCCTCCCTTTCCCTCATGTAACAAGGTCTCATCCTGGTTCTCAGGCAGCCAGTTCATGACACTTTGATTGTGTGTGTATACACGTATGTATTTATACACAGAATCTATAAATAAATGTATTTTTTCCCTAAATTGATCAAAGAAGCTGAATCTTGCTCAAGTTAGTAAAGCAAACTCAGTGTTTTAATTTTAAACTTGTATATGAATAGAAAAATGAATGCTTTCATTTTCCTTTTTGCAAATTCTTTTTGAAAAATCAAACCCCTTCTTTCCAAACATTCTGACTGCATCAAGAGAAGTTGTATCCTAGAATAATATTTCAGATGCAACATCTTGAGTGTTCTATTTTAATTGTGACAAAGATTGGAGACAGACACTGATATTGGAGAAATTCAAATTCCTCTGTAGTAAGGAGTAACTGATCTTGTATAAAAAGGGAAAAAAAAAAAGTATTTTAATAGAATTTTCTCCTTTAATAATGCAGCTGAAAAATGCTGACTATCAGGGAATGGGTTTCTTTGTATTTATGCTGATGGTCTTCTAAATTCACAATCTCAAAACTAAAGCCCACACAACCTGAAACACATGCAACCACTTGTATTCCTCATAGATTTTTTCAAACTACTTTACTATCATTTAACTAGGCCTCTTCTTATGTGAGATAAGGGAATTTGCTTCTTGAATTATAGAATCAGTCAGGTTGGAGGGGATTTTGAGAGGTCACTTGTTCAATCTTGTGCTCAAAGCAGAGTCAACACTGAATTCAGACCACATTGCTCAGGGCTTTCTTTGTCAAGTAGTCTAAGCTCTCTCAGATAGGTATTGGAAACTTGGAAGGAAGGAAATTCCACAGCTTCTTGTGGCACCCTGCTGCATTACTTCACTATTCTCAGTGGCAGGCTGGAACTCTCCCCCACTGTGCACCTGAATAAACACCCTGGCCTTGCCTTCTCTTGTAGGTAAAGATCTAGCCTTGTAGGTACTGGAAGGCTATTATTGAGTCTTTCCTACCTGTTCTCCTTTCCACACTAGACAAGCCCAGTTTACCTCAGCTTGTCTTTGCAGAGGATGTCTGTTCCAGCCGCTGACCATCTTGGCTTTCTACTGGCTCAAATTTATCAACATCTTTCTTGTGCTGGGATGCCTGAAAGTGGACATAGTATTCCAGGTGCACACTAACAAATGATGAGTAAAGAAGAATAGTCATTTCCCTTGATGTAGCTGTGCTTTTCTTTATACTGCCCGCTATGATTTTAACCTTCAGTGCTGGCTGGTGTTTACCCCACTGACAACCAGGACCCCCAGATCTTACTCAGTGGTGCTACATGGCCTGTCGGTCCCAGTCTGTGCAATGGCAAAAGGTTAGTGCAGGGCTTTGCATTAGTCTGTGTTGAACCTGATGTGGTTCCTATAAGTCTGTTCTCTAGCTTGCCTAGAGGCAGCCCTGCCCTCAAGGACTGAATATATCTGTGGAATAAACACTGCAGTGATTCATCACTGGTTTATGCTGGCATCTATTTTTTGAGAAAAATATCACGTCCAATGGAAATTTTAAAGGAAATTTCAGTGTGATTTGGAGGTGGAAATTTTAGGCTTATTGGAATCTGAAACTTTTATTACAAGGGTGTAATTATTTTATTCCTAGCCATAGTGATTAAGACCTTCCTTTTATACTTAATTTCAGGGAAAATTTGCTCCATATTGTCTCCCATAATGCTGCAGCACTGGTACAAGTCTGGACGACTGGAAAGGGGCTGGAGCATTGGCTTTCCTGCGACTTGGGGAAAAGAGTGCCACCTGCTGAGTGTATGTCCCAGTTTGCAAACGTAAGTATACAAAGCATAGTCTTTAATCCAAATTGTGACTCATAGCAATCCAGTTAAATGATATGAGTCGATGCTGTTACACCACAAGATGTGTCTGTACAAGCCAAAGAAACCTAAGATTTTATATGGTGATAGCAAGGAAATCTTTCTTCCTTCCATGTAGTAATAAAATAATGACCTACCAAGGGATAAGTGTGTTTTAAACTTTGTTACTGTAAAAGTGATGGAGTGCAGCCTGCATGCAATCTCAGCAGATGCTGAGAAAAGGAGAAAGGAAAAATAACCATGCTTTTTTTTTAAAAAAAAAAGCAAGCATATCAAAAAGCTGCTACTACAAGAAAGAATATTATGATGTCTGGTTCTGGAGGACATCCAAGGACTGCATTACACAAGGAACAGAGAAACAATTAAAGAGTTCATAATGGCAAAATCTTTACAAAACACTTCATGAAACTGTTTATTGCTCAGTAAGATAAACAGTACCATACACCTTTCTAAACACTTCTCATGGCATGGTGTCTTTGAAGTGTGCTTCATCCGTTTCAGAGCTATGAACTGGCTGGTTGTACCTACAGGCTTGCCTGGTTTTGTGCTTACCACATTTGGTATGTTTAGAAAGAAGTATCATCCTTTCCTGTAGATTTTGCATCTTTACAGTGTGCTTCAGCTTTGGCCTTCTGGTTATAATGTTGACTTTGGCTCAGTGAAGAAGAATTCCTATCTACCTTATACATTATTTAGGAGGCAACTATCAAAATCCAACACCATTAAAATGTCTCTTAGACAAGGGTAGACAGCACACTCCCCTGGCTGCGCAATGTTAGCTTCTGTAGCCAGATGATGACGTTTCTGCCATTGTCTGTTGCTTTGACGTGATTATGGATTGTGAAATGGGAGTCACTACTCATCATTTTGCTTCCCAGACTCCAAACAGGTGAAGTACAACGTGCATTTGTTCTGGCTGGAAGGAAAAGCTACACTTTGTTTTTATAACATGATTTACAGTCACTGAAGAGTGGGGGTTTTGTATTTGTGTGTGTGTGTGTATTTGTTTGTTTGGGTTTGTTTTCTTCCCTCCCCCAATGAAAGTTGACATAAGCAATTTCAATCTTACTAATATCTGATAATATCCTTCATGGGAGGTACTGATTGCCTAACATAACAGAAGGAAATAACTCCAGCTTATGTGATCTGTCTTTTCAGTCTTTATTATCTGTTGCATGCCTTTGACTTCAGTTTTATGCATTATATATTCATTTATTTAAGGTTGCTTTCTATATTAGCTAATTTGTGAACAGCTGTCAATATTCTTTCTGCATTGATTTAAATAGTTATTGACCTATTGCTCCTGTCTATTCAGGAGTTTTTAAGAGCAAGTGTATTAATGGTAAAATAGAAGAGTTTTCCTTGACTGTTGCACTGAGACAGTGTTGCATCAAGGGATAGCTTTGGTTGTGAAAGAAAAAAAAACTTTACCTGTAGTACCTGTGGCTACTATTTTGTTCTTCACCTTCATGTGTCTCACTGTTATTCTCTGCACGGTGACAGGAAAAGATTGGGTGTGGTAATTAGACGACTGACCTGGGACTCATCAGAGAAACCTGGTTACGCATCAGATACTGTCGGCAGTCACGAGTAAGTCACTTCTCTGGTCTCCTGTTTCCACACATCTTGAGCTTCCCTGGTAAAAAGTTCTGCATGGAAGCCAGGACGTATTGTGAAAGAAATGCGAACTACGGTAAGAGTGCAAAAATTACTTCTAGATTTCACTTCATAAAGCAACACATGCTAGAAAGGGAACTGCCCTGCTGATCCCGGGGGGGGGGGGGAAAGCAGTGCTGCTGTGTGCACAGAATGATCTCAGCCTGGATGAACATAAACAAGTGCAACGTGCGTGTTGGGGTAAAACTGTTGGGCATTTCCGTGTTGCTTGGCATGTTTCATTGAAGGAAAGTCTAACCTGTGAATGCTGTCTCAATGTTTTATATTCTGAAAGTTCTGTTGATTGTGGACAAACTCGGGTATCGGAGCAGTCTACAGGGGGAGCAATGACGAAGCAGCTTCTTTATTTCCTGCCTGAAGAGCAGTAGCATGCCTGCAGTTGCCAGCACAGAGTTTTTTATTCTCAGACCAAGGCGCCAGAGGAAGCCATATTCCAGCAGAGGAGCTGAACATTTTTAGAAACCTCAGCAGTTAGGAGTTCTTGTGCAAGGAAATTTCAGTGTTCTTGTGCAAGGAAATTTCAGGCGTTTGGTAAAACAGCCAACAGTGTACACATGACCTGACCTGCTTTCTTCCCTGTTTTTCCACTTTCTTTTCTTCAGAAAAAAAAACTGTGAGAAAAGGGACCAAAGGGGGGAAACAAAAAAAAAAAACCAACAAACCAAAACCCACCATGTTTTCCTTTGGTTCCAGTGGTTCCTTAAAAACAAAAAGCTTTACGTTTGCTTGCTTTTTTTTTTAGAGAGGAAGGCCACGAAGCCCGATCTCGCTGCGGGAGCTGGCACCGAACCGGTGAGTTTAGCCAGGTGCTGGACGCGGCAGCGTTCTGCAGGGCTTTGGCTTCCAAATCAGTGCTGCAAACTCTGCCCGCCCATGCCTCGGTGGGGATTTCCCCTCCTTCCCTGCGGCCAAAGCCGAGCACGGAAGGTCAAGCCAAGAGCTGTGAAAAGGGGGGGCTGGGGGCAGGCCGGTGCCAGGAAGAGACGCTGAGGGTCGGCGGGGCTGCGGCTGTGGGGTGGGAAGGCGGCGGGAGGAGGAGGAGGAGGGAGGAGTTGTTGAGGAGCCCGGGCCTGGGAGCCTCCCCACTTACCGCACTAGGAAGTGACGCTTTCCATGAGTCCCGGAGAGAAAGAAACAAAGTTTGGGTGCCTTTCTCCCCCCTGCTCCTCCTTCCCCACCTTTGCCAACTGCCGCCCCGCTGCAGCCGCAGCTCGCTTTGCAGGTGAGCCACCGCGTTTTCGGCCCGCTCCTGTTTTTCGCGGTTTATTATTTTTTCCCCTCACGTCTTGCTTCCGTTTTCCTGCCATTTTGGACAGGGGGTGTCTCTGATGGACTTTTTTTTTTTTTTGGGGGGGGGGGGCTGCTTTCCTTTGTTCACGGGTGCAGGATGAGGGGGAAAAGCGCCCGTGGAGGTGTCGGGGCCACTTGGCTCCAGCCCGCCGGGACAGCGGCGCTCCCGACCAGGCTGCTGCGGGGGGGCAGCCTCGGCTGCTGAGCCACGGTGGCCCTCTGACCGCGAGTCCTTGCGAGGGCTCCGGAGGGGTTCCTTCGGTGTTGCCTGGCTGCAACAGCTCCTGGAGGACGCGTCTGTGTGCTGGTGAGCCGTCTGCGGACGGTGTTTGGGGGGTGGTGGTTTGGGGTTGAGTGCTTTTGGTGGTGTTTTTTTTTGGGGGGGGTGGGGGTGGTGTGCTTCTTTTTGCTTGCTGCGTGCTGGAGCCGGGGCAGCGCCGCATGTGCCACGGGAGCACGGCGCGCTTCAGCCAGGCTCTGCCGGGGTATACGCAGTGCAGGGGGGTTGGGGGGAATTTCTTAGGTAATGTCCGAAAATCCGTGCTCTCCAATGTGCAGCTTCTTTGGCAGCAACTGCAAAGGGCCGATTCTGTGCAGTGCAGCAGTAAAAGCTGACGAGGCACCCACGCACGTATGTGCGAGCCTTATATAATACTTAAGGGGTTTGTTTTTCGTTTAACAGGCGTGAGCAGGATTTATTTTTGGTTCGTGAAATCTTGTGTGGTTGCAGCCTGCAGAATTAGACCAATACTCTCTTTGCTCCACAGAGATTTTCTTGGCATCTTCTTTGAAACAGCTTATTTTTCAATAATAATTTGATTTCGTCCTGGCTGTGTTTTGAGTGCGGTGTAAAGGCCGTCTACACTGGAGCAAGCAGTAAGCAGTTAAGGGAGGGGAAGAGAGAAATGTCCTAATGCGGAGACTGATATTAGGTTGTTTAGAGGGCGAGACTGCAGTTCCAAGCAGCAACAGCAGCAGCTTTATGACTGTGTGTAATTACAGAGTGATTGCATAGGACAGCATTGTTGGTACGAATACGTATACACAAGCTATTGTGCAAGATTTCTGTACCGAACAAAACCTAGTTCTGCATTGCAAATGCTAAAAAGAGAATGCATTCTGCATTGAACTGTCACAGTCCTCTTTTGATTTCACTGAAGAATTAGAAGGGGGATGGGGAGGGAAGGAGAAGTGGAGTGAGGCCGATCGTAGAAGTCACAGAAATGAAATACTCATCAGAAACGCCCCCAGTAGTCTCTGAAATCACTGAAGAAATTGAAAGCTCGTTGAATCTGTGGTTCCTCTTTCTTAACTGATTATGCAGCAGATGAAAATCAGGCAGGTCTGCTAAGAGTCCGGCAGGTTTAGTGCAACTCTTGCTTTGCTGTGCTTGTGTGCTAGGTTAAAATGAGCAACTGCAGTTCAGGCAGTGTGCTTGGAAATGGAGAGAAGAGCGCTCGGGAGAGTTGTGTCAGGCTACGAACGGTTAGAAGTCGAAAGGAGTGTTAGATCGGCCATAAGTTTTGGGTATGCTGTTTCAGCTTCAGTTGAAGAGTTGCATATTGCTGGGTGATCTTGCCGGCAGTGTTGTCTGGGGGATAGGATAAGCATTGAGAGTGTGCCGTTGGTAACATGTTAGCAAGTCTTTTAACAACGTCTGTGGAAGACCATCAAAATTATGCCAAAGTCCTTGTGGATACAAATTAAGGTACCTAAGATTTGTTTTTCAGAAATTCTCGTTACTTGTAATTTTTACCAGTTTACTTCTGGAAGTAGTTGGAATTCATAAAAAACACAGATCCAAACGGTTTCAGAACTGGTACTCAGAAATTGGCCTTTCTAGGATTGGAGACAGTTTTCTAGACATGTTATCTTTAACCGTCATGCTGATTTCTTAGTAAATGCTCTGAAGGCCTGTAAAGTATTTTGAGCACTGTGATGTAAAGTGCTATACAAATGGAAAGCTGCTTTAAAATTTATTGGTGTTCAACGAGAATGTATTTTATTAATACACACGGGTCATCTTATTAATGGTAGTTTCCTCAGGTTGTCAACTAAATGCTTCATGTAAAATATATGTAGCTTTGTTAATGAAGAACATAATGACGTGCTGAAGAAGTTTGTTTGGGTGTTTTGGGTTGGTTTTGTTGGTTGTTTTTTTTTTTTGGGGGGGAGGTAGCTAATTAACCAGTCTGACAAACTTACTGTAAATGTATTGGGAAATTTTATCTTAATACAACATAAGCAAAGATACATTAATCTGTGCATTACTGTGATGTTCCATTTGTAGATTTTTCTTTGAATTCTTTTTCATGTTTTGACTGACTTTTCAATCTATGTTTCAATGTAAAAGTCACTTCTGGGGAAAATCAGAAACAGTGCTTAAAGATTCCTTTAATCATTTGTGGTGGTGATACAATATAGCTATTCCTTATGCTAAGTCTTTTGGTGTTCACAGCCTATATGGTGGGAGAAAAAGTTTTAGGCCAGAATGCTTCGGACTTTCATCAAAGGAATAGATAACTTGCATGCCCATGAGTTGTCCTGTGAGTTAGTCATAGATACACATTTGTGTGCATAGTAGCAAAAGGGGGGTGTAGCCGTGCTAGCCTTGAACCCATTCAGCTAGTGATATGAAACCCTGAGGGCTTGTAGCACAGTACAAGCCTTTTGGGAGCCTATATAATCGTTCCAGATACTATTTGTGTGTTTGTCTTTTCAGTCTTACTGTCACCTGTAAGTGGCAGCTGCAGAGCTGCATGAGATGTTTTCAAGCCTGGCATCCCTCCCATGACGCTGTTCCATCAGGCTGCCAGGCAATGAGTGCAGTTGACCCTAACAGGTAACCTGCAGCCTTTCTTTGGGAATGGCTGCCTTGGTGATGGTGATAGCAGCAGCATGTGTGTATGGGGGGCATGTTCAGGCATGTAAGGAGAGGAGAGCAACTTCCGTGAATCAGGGTGGAGGTCTGTCTAGCCAGCCCATGGTTCCATTTCCAGAGGAGGATGTATTTTCTGTATGCTTAGCCATTCTTGAGGGGTTTCTACCCAAGAAACTTACTTAGCTTTCCCTTGAGGTAAGATAAACCTTTAGCAGCCTCTTTTTTAACCTGTTGATTGAATTATGGAATGAGGGTGTTGATGGGAATTGTCTTATGGATAAGAGCTGATCTGGTTTTGTTGTTTCATAAAACCAAACAAACAAACCCCCCAAACCCCAACTTTTTCTTCTTTGTCAGGCATTTCATAAAATTTTAGTATTGGTTGCAGTAAATTAGTTTATGCTAAAATGAAATGTAGTAAATATGCATATTGTCTCCAGTGCAGTTAGTTGTATTCTGAGTAACATAAAGGGAGAAATAAATCATTTTTCTGAGTGCTGATCATATGAAACAGGGGGGATGAGGGAGGCAGGAGCTCTGGTGGTGAGGTTTTGCAACACATGTCCAAAAAGCTAGCAAATTCTGGCACAGGCAAGCCAAGGCTTGTGAGTCAGCTCCAAATGGAAGACTTGCCACTGAGCAATTTGTAAATAGGAGGGATGTGCTGCTAATTCACAGAAATATCGTCATTAGGACCTCCCCTAATAATTGGAAGTGTGGCACAGAGCTGTCTGTCAGACGGGAGTTGTTCGTGCTTTGAATCACGTGTTCCCTTCAGCGTGATTCAAGCGTTCAAACCCAGAAATCCTTGTCATGCGATATCTGGGTCCCTGAAGGAGGTGGTAGCTCAAGCAGTCATTTAAATTTTTGTAGCTGCATACCAGCAACTTGCATTCCGCGTGGAAGCTCCTTGGCAGCTACAGCAGCTCCCAGTGTGCAAATGGCATGAGCTTCCAGCGTGAGGCCGCTCCAGCAGCACTTCATGTAGTTTTGCATAACTTCTGTTTCTGAATGGTCTCCATCTGTAGCCCTTCTCCAGTGCTCTGCTGATCAACTCTAGCGACTGAAAAATATCATGAGGGAAAGCTATGCCCTTCACCCCAGGGAAAAACAAAGAATGTATGCATTTGGAATGCAGCCAGCATTCAGGTATTCAGGAGCAAAGGGTCGAATGGGGAATGCAGAGATGAATCTTGCTAATTAATTCTTTGCTTTTAGGGCTGTGTTGATTCTTTTTCTCACGTTTGGTGCAACTGACAGCCACCTGATCACCAGGCCTGAATTAATAGAATTAACTCATCTCTACATGCTGTAGAAGATGTCAGTTTCAAAGAATATCTGTACATCTCAAAAATGGATGTTCTTTTTATGTATAAGCAAATTACATGAATGCCTTGTTGCACTGACAGCTGGTGTTGATCAAGAAGTTTAAAAACTGGGAAAAGCTTTTAGATTTGGAGGGGGTG